TTGCAAACCGCACGTTGCGAACCCTGCAGGCTGAGAAGCACCGCAGGATGTCGCATGCTGAAAAGCACTTGTACTGCAGAGCGCAGGCTGCGAAACCTGCAGGCTGAGAAGCACCGCAGGAACTCGCATGCTTTCGAACACTACTGCTCGAGACCGCAGCTGGAGAGCGGCAGACCGCAGGCTGAGAAGCACCGCGGGCAGGGAGACTTGCAAAACTCAGATGTCCTGATCGTCTTGGAGGAAGTCACGCCAGTCCGGCGGCTGCCAAGAATCGATGATGCGCCTGGAGCCACCGCCCGTGCTGCCGCCGATGTCCAGGTAGTCGCCATCGCCCCTGAACAGACGGCCGTGCCCGCACGCCAGAATCGCTTGGTTGCGGATTTGAAGCAGCGCTCCGCTCTCAAACATCTGCAACACGTCCTGCTGCCTGCGCGTGAAGTTCGGCTTTGCCTGGCCAGCCTGGGCAGACAGATATAGGGAAAGCCGCTCCCCCTCGTTGTAGCGCGCGATGGCCTCGGCCTTCTGGTGGTGCAGCCGGCGCCGCTGTTGCCGCAGAGCTTCCTCGGGAACTGCTGCATCACGGCCCTCACTGTGATCAGCTTGCAACGCTTGCGTTAACCAATCAACGTCGAAGCGCCCTGAGAAGGCCAGCACCTCCCAGATCTGTTTGGTACCGGCCACACGTTGCAAATGGCGATGCCACCGCTTACGCTTCTGGTCTTTCACAAACTTGGCGACGCTACCCAGACCTGCACCCTTGGCCTGGCCACCTTTTCCCGCAGGCTGAGAAGCACCGTGAGAACCTTTCTTACCGCCTGGCCCTTTGTTCGGACCCTGCGGAACCGCATGGCCCCCTTGTGGCGCAGACTTGCCTTTCGCTTTTCCCTTTTCGATATCCCGTTCCTGAAGCGCACGCTGCTGCCGCGACTGCTCGTACTGGTCGCGAGCTACTCTGACCAATTCCTGGCGCTCAGGCTCCGTGAGAACGTAGCGCATGTCGTCGATGTTCTTGCTCCGCAGAAAGTCATGTCGAAGCTTAAGGACAGAGAGAATGGCTCGGCCAGTCTCCTCCTGAGACGCAAAGGCCGTGTCATATTCCGAGCCAGGCTGAGGAGCGCCAGCTGGATCAGTGTCCGCTGGCTCCGTGGACTTCCTCTTTTTGAAAAGCAAGAGACTGAGATGATGGAGGACTTTCGGATCGTACTCCTCGTCGTACCTGTCGTCCCAAAGCTGCCTCAGCTCCCTGTGCAAGTCGTCCGCGCGATTCTGAACGACATCCTCGACGTAGTCGGGATCACCCGGTGAAGTCGGTGAAAGCGGAGGAGCAGAACTCGGCGACCGATCCCAATGCACAGAAGACTCGCGGTCCGCCTGTACGCTGACGTCGGCGTCGGAGACGTTTTCGACGACAATTTTCCGCCTCTTGCTCTCCCCAGGCTGAATAGCACCAGGGAGAGTGAGCACAACCGCCACCGCATCGTGTGCGTCGTTGCGCATGCCACGATCCGTAAAAGACGCGCCAACGGCAATGGAGCAGAAACGGGCGACTGCTCCGCAGACCGCGACGTGGTCGCCTTTGAGGTCGGCCGGAGTGGCATGGACCTCCCATACCTTCTCGTCGTTCTGCTCGCGCTGGTAAGCCTCCCGCGCCTCCTGGAAAGTGAGGTTGTCGTCGCCGACTACAAGCACAACGACTGCCTCGTTTAGATTCTCAAGAATCTTGGCCAGGCCGTCCAGGTGCAAGCGGAGATGGCGAACTGTCCGCTTTCGAGTCTGGATGCTCGGCGGTTTCTTGCCGCACACGATGTGCATGTTGGCGATCACCACGTGGAACTTGTCATGGCCTGGTTTGTTCACCTCAAAATGTGAAATAACAGCATCAATATCTCGGCCGCTAGGAGGCCTGTAAACTTTGCTGTCTTCGCACAGAGTCAGTTCCGCAGGCTGAGAAGCACCGCGGAACCCCCAGAGAGTCAAGTAGTTGTCGACCTCCAAGAAGCGAATGCCATCACCGAAAGGCTTACTGAGGATCTCTGTCACGTTGATCCCTGCTCGGCGAAAGCCTTCACGGAACGCACCGACCTCGCAGCCACAGACCATATCAGCATCAGCGGTCTCCACTATCTTGGCGCACAACCTTCCGAAGTTAGCGCAGTGAGTGGCCGCCTGCTTACCAGTCATCATGCCCTGCTCGAACCCGAAATTGAACGAGGCGACCGTGAAAGACGCAGGCTGCACAGCGCCAGAACCAGGCGTCTGTCCACCTTCCTCCGCAGGCTGAGAAGCACCGCGAGGCGGCGCAGGCTGAGAAGCACCGCGAGGCGGCGACACTTCGGACGAGCCTCGCGGAGCAGAGGCTGCGGATGAACGTTGGACATGGGGGTACGGCCAGGGGAACGCCATTGCAATCAAAACTCAGTGGACTGCAGTGAATGAATGTAGTGGCCAATTGAATGCAGAGGACTGCAGTGTCACTAGCAAGTCCTGAACCAAACACAGCTGTGGCGGAAGGAATATGAAGCGTCTGGCTATTCAAAATGTTGCCCGGCAATGTCCTCCTCCTCCTCCTCCTCCTCCTCCTCGTCCTCCTCCTCCTCCTCCTCCTCCTCCTCCTCCTCCTCCTCCTCCTCCTGGTAGTCCTCCCCCTCCCCTCCTCCTCCTGGTAGCCCAGGAATGGGAGTTTTGGGAACTCGAAGAGCACGAAGTGGCCTACAGTTGGCTCCGGGCATTCAAAATGTGGCCCGGGAATGGAGTTCTGGGAACTCGAAGAGCACGAAGTGGCCTACAGTTGGCTCCGGGCATTCAAAATGTGGCCCGGGAATGGAGTTCTGGGAAATAGAAGAGCACGAAGTGGCCTACAGTTGGCTCCGGGCATCCAAAATGTGGCCCGGGAATGGCGTTCTGGGAACTCGAAGAGCACGAAGTGTGTGACTGTTGCATCCGGCCCCCCAGAATGTGGCCCGGGAATGGCGTTCTGGGATGTCGAAGAGCACTTTGTGTGTGACTGTTGCATCCGGCCCCCCAGAATGTGGCCTGGGAATGGAGTTCTGGGAAGGCGAAGAGCACGAAGTGTGTGACTGTTAGTGAAAAACGAGCCCGGCTCATGCTGCCCGGAAACGCCCCAACACCTGCCCGGACCCCCCTGCGGAGTGATCTGTGAGCTCTTTTGAGTCAACTAGAAACCTATCAGTCTTCGCTGTTAGGTAAAAAACACCGGGAATGGACGTCCGAGCGATGGCGGGCAAGAGGCCTGGTCCAAGAGGGCCCCGAGTCGACGAACGATCGCTCCAAGACGCCCGAGATGGCTCGCAGGCGGCGCACAAGGCCTCCAAGACGCCCCAAGAGGCCTCCAAGCAAGAGGCCTCCCAAGAGGGCCTCAAGAGGCGCAAGTCATTTAAATTCCTACGGTTTTTGAAAGTGTTAGGCGTTCTCACCTTTTCGGCCTTCCGACGCTTTCAGACGGCCCTAGAGGCCCCCAAGACCACCCCAAGATAGCCCAAGGGGCCTCCAAGAGGGCCCACAAAAGGGCTTTCAGAGGCAGACTTTGTACATTTGTCAGAAGATTCAAGTTCCAAGAGGCTTTCAAGAGGACCAAAAGAGGCCAACATCAGTGGAAAGCCGTAGAGAAACCATGAGTTTGAAGATCTTGTGTTTCGCTTCCGATCGACCTTGGCTCGTGGGAGTTGGCCTACGCCTCCGGGGGTCCGGCCGCGAGGAAGTCACGACGGGACCCCAGCGTCGTGTTCTGTGCAGCCGCGGCGGTGTCCCTTCGCTGCGGCCTCCCAGGGCCCAGCAGAGGGCTTGGGGTTACATCGGGCCTGTCCCTCTGCAGGGGGAAGATTCAAAAATAGTAAAAAATAGTCTGGGGACTATTTTTTGAGTACGTTTGGGGCATCTTTTGAGCAGTTCTGGGGTATTTTTCATTTTGCGTCGAAAATCCTCCTGTAGGGTGGCACGCCCAACTTAAGCGTAGGGAGGATAGAGCATGTATCGGGACCGCAAGACATCCCCGGGGAAAGGGGCCGGGAGCCCTGGGGCGGCGGATTTGAGCACATCATCTCGGAGGATGGTTGGGTTCACAACGTGCATCCCCAGAGGTCTGCACCCCTTCCCAGGGACCCGCTCACCCGAAGCCAGTTCTTTTTATTGATGGCCCTGGTTCTCGGCAGGGCCGCCCGAGAGGCTACAAAAACATTCCGTCGTGATTTTGGCCCCGACTCGATGATGTTTGGTTTGGGGGGAAGAACACAAAACCAGACCTCTCCTAGGGTGCGTTCTGGGCCAAATATCTAGTCGGTGTTGGTCATGGCGACGAGGAACCTCCCAGAGGGCCAATAAAGGACAACTTCTAAAACCTCGAGCCTCGAATTTCGAGCCTTTCAGTTCGAGACACGACGCGAGGAGATAAGGTGAGATTATGGATGTGAGGACGCGAGTCCTGGGAGGTTGAATTCAGCATCGGCGCTGGTAGATCCATGGTCGAACACCGGCCTAATCTGGCAGAATCTCGCTTCACGACCCAGTTTACAATCCCGATTCTGGCTTCTTAGCCAGGCTCAATCCAGCCCAATCTGGCTTAGTGACCCCTCAAGCGGGCTTAGAGTTTTTTATTCGTTCTTGCGAAGACCCCCCGGAAGTCTCCTCCTAACGATAACATGCATTGAAACCTCAGAGTTTGAAAACATTGCCTTCCATCGGTGCAATGGCCTGAGATTGAAAGATCGAGAATGCATGAATCTTGAGTGGTGTGTACCACATGACAATTTCAGTTTGAAAATGGCAAGCCCTCAACCCGAGCAGCTGTTCGGAACTTCAAGATTGGCGAGCATTCGGTGAGAGGCGGAGGAGGTTGAGGCACAGGAGGCGGAGGAGGGTCAGCATCAGGAGACGTGCCCGTGGATCAGGATCAGGAGGACGAGGCCGAGGGTCAGTATTAGGGTCAGGTGACGCGCCCGCGGGGGGGTGGACGAGGCCGAGGATCAGAAGACGCGCTCGCGCAGGAGCTGTCTCTGACGCAGGAGGAGCTGGACAAGGCCCGCCCAGCACACCGCCGCGGGGGCGCGGTCGGGGCTTCGTTGATCTCGAGTCGGGGGGCCTGCTGCGGATTGTCCGCCATGAAGACACTCATTTCCCCACGACTTATTTTTCCAATCACGGTGGCTTCTTGATTTCGGCGTCTGGGGCCGTTCGCGGGTCCTGGGACCATCAGACACAAAGCCGGGGCGAAACAATTTCCCTTGGAGAATCGGTTGGGAGCTCATGGGGCCGCGGATTAGAAAAACCAATCGCGTTTTTTTCCCAACCATCATGTGTTGTTGGGTCCTCGTTTTGAAGAGACCCGCGTCACTCCTCCTCTCCTCTCCTCCTCCCCCTCCTCCTCCCTCCTCCACAGGAGCGCCGCCCTCTCTCCTCTCCTCTCCTCTCCTCTCCTCTCCTCTCCTCTCCATTTCGGCACACCTCTCACACGTTTCGTGGCCCGACAGGGAACCCCACCGAAGGCCCCAATGGCTGCGTTCGCATGCGCCCACCGCACCCAGTCCAGCAAACCCCTCACACGCTTCGTGGCCCCACATGAAGCTCCACCGAAGGCCCCAGTGGCTGCGTTCCAATGCGCCCACAACGCCAATGTCGACACACCCCTTGCACGTTTCGTGGTCCCACAGGGAGCTGCACCGAAGGCCACAATGGTTGCGTTTGCAAATGCGCCCACCGCACCCAATTCGGTGCACTCCTCACACGTTTCGTGGCCTCACAGGGAATCCCACCGAAGGCCACAATGGTTGCGTTCGCATGCGCCCACTGCGCCCATGTCGGTACACTCCTCACACGTTTCGTGGCCCCACAGGGAGCTGCACCGAAGGGGCCCCATTGGCTGCGTTCGCATGCGCCCGCCGCACTACTTTCGGTACACCCCTCACACGTTTCGCGCCCCACATGGAGCTCCACCGAATGCCCCAATGGCTGCGTTCGCATGCGCCCACCGCACCCATTTCGGCACACCCCTCACAAGTTTCGCGGCCCCACAGGGAGCCCCACCAAAAACCTCCACGGCTGCTTTCGCATGCGCCCACCGCACCCAGTTCGTCACACCCCTCACACGTTTCGTGGCCCCACAAGGAGCCTCACCGAAGGCACCAATGGCTGCTTTCGCATGCGCCCACCGCACCCATGTCGGCACACCCCTCACTCGCTTCGTGGTCCCACAGGGAGTTCCACCGAAAACCCCAGTGGCTGCGTTCGCATGCGCCCACCGCACTCATTTCGGCACACCCCTCACACGTTTCGTGGCCCCACAGGGAGCCGCACCGAAGGCCCCAAAGGCTGCGTTCGCAAACGCGCCCACCGCACCCATGTCAGTGCACTGCTCACTCGCTTCGTGGCCCCATGGGAAGCTCTCCCGAAGGCCCCAGTGGCTTCGTTCGCATGCGCCCACCGCACCCATGTCGGCACACCTCTCACACGTTTCGTGGCCCGACAGGGAGCTCACACGTTTCGTGGCCCCACAGGGAGCCCCACCGAAGGGCCCAGTGGCTGCGTTCGCATGCGCCCACCGCACCCAATCCGGTAAACCCCTCACACGTTTCGTGGCCCCACAGGGAGCTCAACCGAAGGCCCCAGTGGCTGCGTTCCAATGCGCCCACGGCACCAATGTCGGCACACCCCTTGCACGTTTCGTGGCCCCACAGGGAGCCCCACCGAAGGCCCCCCCACAGCCCTCATGCGTTTCGTGGCCCGTTAGGGATCACTACCGAAGAAGATATTCACACTTGCGGTACGCACAACTGCATATGGCTGGGCCCCTCGCCTGGATAATTTCCATAGGTTCTTCCACAATCTTCTTCGGCCTCCGGGCGCCCTCACTGGGCCAGGCCATACAGGATGGTCAAAGAACGGCCCCAGATGCGACATTGGTCCCAGAGAAGCGGTCTGTAGACCTCCGCGGGTTCGCGTTGTGGAAGCATCACGGCGTCGACGGTATCCGAAGGTGTTTCAGAGGCCGTGGAGGTGTTTCACGGTTTCCTGGCCCCCAGGGCCCCACCCAAGGCCCCAGGACCATCAAAAGCGGCCTAAGAGTTGCTCTTGGACCGGCTTCCATCAGGGATCACGATTCGGCGAACGTGTCCATCTCCACGCCCGGGCTGTCTGGGCTCCGACGTGCAATCCCGTGGATTCGCGGTTGCATGGATACACTCCACGCGGGGCATCCGCCCGCGCATCCGCGGGCCATCAGCGACCACGAGCGGCCAACGTCCATGTCCACGCCCGGGATGTTTGGGCTCCGGCGTGCGATCCCGTAGATACGACGGTAAGTTCGCGCCGTCCGGCGGAGATCCCGCCGCTGGCGTTCAACGTTGAGCGCCGCTGCCGACCCAGAATCGGTCGATGTTGAACGATCTGACGTTTCGGAAACGGCCGATTGTTCAAGGTTGCACGATCCCCACGGTGTCAGGAACCAACGCCGGGGTCGTCACGACACGAACCTGCCGTACGCAGTCGCATGGATACGCTCCACGCGGGACATCGGCGGAACAAAAGAAAAACGATCCTATCCGCGGGGCCGCGGCCCAGAGGCCCTGCCCGCGAGGCCGTGGATACGGATATGTCTTCCATCCGCGACCGACACCTTGACTTTCCACCTTCTATGCCTTCCGACCAGCAGGTTGTTGGTTTAGTGATCTTCTCGAGGGACAAAGATGCATAATTACAAACTGTTGCAGCTCTGCGCGGATGTCCTGGATCGGTGATGGACCCACCTGGCGGCGCCTCTGGTGCCGCCTGTGGCGCGCTCAGCGCAGATGCAAGACATCCGCGCAGAGCTCCGAACATTTCTCACTATGTGTTCGTTGTCCACCGAGAAGACCGCTAGATCAGCCACCTCCTTCTTGGAGGGTGTGGACGGAGGAGAGCCAGGGAAGGCTGCCGTGATGTCACGTAACTGTGGCATGGGCGCCGCGTCGGACCGTTCCGGAGGCAATCCAGATGTGCCGGAGCGGGAAGTGCCTGGGGCCCCCTGGGGCAGCGGGCAGCCAGTTACCGAGCCACAGATCGCAGAGGCTATGTGTTGAAGTTCCGCCGCCCCTGAGTACGTAATAGTTCGTGCAATCGTTCGTGCGGGATACTCACGTGGTATAATATCAGCACGTGGCTGCCACGCGCCTTGCGCCACATAATGAACTGTTTCATTTGCGTGCGCGACCCAAATTACGGAGGATCTCCTTTGCCCGGAAGCAAAGGGGGAAAAAGGGGAACGGGACCAAGGACAGAAGCGGTGCTGATGCGAGGGCGGAAGTCATACTGAGGGGTCCGAGCGGTGGGCGTGTGGCTGAAATGGGGTCCCGCGGTGCGGATGGTTGTTGCGTTGTTGAGTATCCATTTCTTAACTATTATTACTGTTGGTCCCCCTTGCTCGGTGCACCATGTGTTGTTCCCCTCCCGGGGCTCGCACTTGGCGTTTTTCGAAAGAGCAGAAAACACGTGGCACAACCAGACGGGTCCATTGGGCGGGTAGACCCTCACGGGCGGGTCGGGAAGGCGGGCCCAAGCGGTCAGGTCGAGAAGGTGTGTTGCTGAAGCGTGAGTGTTGCAAAGAGCTTGAGCGCTAGAGCGATTACCTAGTAAATCTGGAGAGAGGCCACAGCGAGAGCATGATTTCTGAGTGTCGAGGGCGCGGCGACTGAATGGAGTGTCAGGAAGTCACACGCGAGAGAGCGATTCCTGCATACATGCATGGTGAGGAAGCCTGCGCAAGAGCGCGATTTGGGAATACATTGTGAGGAAGTATCAGGCGGGAGCCGTTGTTGTTGTTGTTGTTGTTGTTGTTGTTGTAGCTGGGGGGCCAACGACACAGTTTGAGCACGAATATCTTCCAGGTTGACTGAAACATAGAATATGCACCAGTGAGGGGGGACCAAACATTGAAGAATTGGATTATGCACCAGTGATGGGGGACCAACCATCAGTATCTCTCAAGAGTGAGAGTTCGACCACAACAACAACAATCATTTCAAGACTGTTCGCTCCTATCTGCTCGCGTGCTACTCAACACGTATATCCCACACCCTCGTTTACAGCCCTGTTCGTCTTCAATCGTACCCACTTGGGGTATATCTTCTTTACCTGCCACGTGCAGTTCTTGCAGCCCCCAAACCAGGGGAAGAGAGGACGGCTGGAAGGGGGAGGGAGAAGGACGGAGCACGGGATTATTAGGAGGGGTGCTAGGAAAAGAAACCACTTGGCACAACCAGACGGGCAGCTGGTCTTCGGGGCTTCTTGGGCTGTGTTGGACGCTCTTGCGACCGATGCGGCGAGACTGTGAAGATCACACAAGCCGTCAGAGGGTCAGGGTTCAGCCCATTTGGTCCTCTCGCTCGGGCTGGCCCCAGAGCCTTCCGGACGGCACGCGAGACTACCAAGAGTGCCCGTGTTGGCCTCCGAGAGGGTTCCAGAGGACTTCTTGTGGCCCAGAGATGGCCAGGGTGGCCCCGGTGGCCCCGAGATCGCCCGAGTCACTCGGGGGGCGCACCTCCCACCCACCCCCTGGGACATTAATTTCTTGGGCGAGCACAACAGGCGGCAGGCGCCGTCACCGACCTCCTCATCCTCGTCCTCATCCTCATCCTCCTCCTCCTCCTCCTCCTCCTCCTGCTCCTCCTCCTCCTCCTCTCCTCCTCCTCCTCCTCCTCCTCCTCCTCCTCCTCCTCGTCCTCCTCCTCGTCCTCCTCGTTCTCCTCCTCGTCCTCCTCCTCCTCCTCCCGTCGCGGGGTCCGGGCAGGGAAGCTGCGCGACGCGGCGTGCAGCCAGGCCTGCGGCCGGCGACGCAACGCGGCGCCCACCCGCGCTCGCAGCCACCCTGGCCGCACACGGCGACGGCGGACGTCCCCCCGCATCTTGGGTCGGACGAGAGGTGGGGGATGCATGCAGTTAAGTGGGGGGAAGGAGAAGCGACACCAACACCAGAGAGCAACCTCCAGCGAGGGGGTCCACGATGCCTCCTCCGAGCCAGGGATAGGGGACGTCCCGAGCGAGAGGGGGG